ATTTGAGAAAGCATTCTTTTTCACATTAACTGAGTGTATTTTTCAACTCATTGTTCTCACTTAATGAAAAGTTAATCATACTGTTTTAATTGAGATATTTATTAAACTCTTTTGAAAAGTTGATCAGACTGTTTCAATTAAGAGATTTCTAAGTCTGTTTTCAATTAAAAAGTTGATCAGACTGTTTCAAAAGAAAAATAAAAGACTTTTATATATAAAACACCTGATTTTTTTCACACTAGTTCAGTAACTAGATTAGATTTTTGAAGAGAATCTAATAAACTGAGATTGATTTTTGAGATAAATTAATTAAATCTTTACAATCTCTTTCTTGAGATACAGTGAGAAATAGTATAATCAATTAATAGTAAATCAGATAATATAACAGTTTTTGAGAGAAAAACTGATAAAAAATAAATCATTTTTTTACAGAGAAATTGATTAAAACTGTTTAATTTTATTTTAAATCATTTAATTTTTCTCACATAACAAGTGTGCAACTCAAATCAGTTAATAAAGAGTGTAAAAAAGAATTAAGTATTAATAACAGCTCTTCAGTCACTGAAAAAGTAATTCTTACTTAAAAGAATATGAAATTATGATAGAAAATAACTCTATTTTTAATTCTTTGTAAGAATATTGTGTAAAATCTAGAGAAAAACATCTTACTTTTTCAAGAGAAGTAAAAAACTATTTCTAAGATCTTTTTTTGTATTAACTGCTGCAGAAGAATAAGATAGAAACTACTAAGATATACACTACTGTATACTCTCTATCAAGACTTTCTCTCTTTAGAATCTTGATATTATAGAGAATATAAGTCTGTTTCTATATAATAATATAACTATTATCAGCAGAATGTAGAGAAACTGATTATTTATATCTTAAAATAAAAGACTTTGTCAATGATTATATCAATATAGAGTTAATTCTTAAATTCAATAGAAATCTAGTATTGCTGTTCTCAATCTCTTGCAGAATCTATTAAATATTGAGATATTAAAACTAGATTTAATATATCTTACTATACAGAAATCAAAGACTCAGTCAGATCTTAAGATATACTGATTTTATAGTTATTATATCTGCTGATTATATATTGAATACAGTTGTCAAGATATCTTTTTATATTTTTCTACTGAGAATGAGCCAGATTCAAAGAGGTAGTACAAGAGTGAGACTTAGTGTTAATGTCTTGATACATCAAAGACAGAGAGAGTTTTTCACAGAGAATGCACTTCAGATGTATTCATTGATTATGTGTGTGATACTATTACCAAGGTATCTTTTTGTATTTTTCTGCTGAAGGTGGGTCAGATTGAGAAGAACAGTATGTGAGTGAGACTTGGTGTTGATGTTTTAAAACATCAAAGATAGACAGGGTTTTCATGAAACTTGCTTCTCAGATATCTTCACAATTACAGATCAGAGATCTTTCAAACTTAAGAAGATTAATGCATATGACTAGGTCTCTTCACCTTACAATTTGTATGGCAATTTGGCCTGGAATTGTGATGTGATAGGGGTGAACGGGGGATAATCCCACACAGGAGTTTCAAACAACATCTGGTTCATATTTGGCTGGATAACTCCACCATCACACGGGGTATGCGGTCAGTGATGGGGTCAAAATGCTTGTATGATTGAGGGCTTTTTGATGAATCTATCATAGGGTTTCTATTCGAAAAATTGAGTGAGTTTGTGATGAAGCGCTTAAGTCTTTTTATGTTTTGAATATAGTAGATGTCAGTGAAGCAGTTCTAGAAGAAATAATTCTGAAGCAATCAGATTCTTAATCTATTGATTAACAGATCTGAAAAATATCAATGAACTCTTTAAATTCTCACTTCTGTCTCTGAAACTTCTGAATCTTTGATACTGGTGCAGAACAGCATATATGTAATAATTGAACATGATTTCTATTCTTTACACCTGTGAACATGAACACAGAAGTCTATACAGGTGATTTCAGCACTACAGTTGAAGATTATGAAACTGTTAGAACTATCATGATAAATAAAGCAGGAAAGCAGTTCAATATCAACCTTATTAACACAGCTTACATTCTGAATTTTCATACAAATATCATTGCATGAGAACTGTGTTTTCATATAGAAGACATCTATTATGATGAAAAAGACTTCAGATTATGAAAACACATAGATAATACAATCTTGGCACACATTGAAGTATTTAAAGAGTTGCTAGTTATAGAATATAGTGATATAACTGTTTTCTCAACTATATTGAAAGAATTCACTATCAAAGCTAATGCAGTTACTACATCTCACACTTCTAACATCACTATATCTGAAAAAATGATATCTTCAAATTCTTCAACTTTTATAAATTCTTCTTCTAATCAGTTAAAACACACTTCTATAAAATCTTCTCAAAAACCTAAGATCTCTATAGCTACACAGTCTACATGATATAAGAGATTAGAACATTCTTCAAAAATCGTTATTTAAAAGCTTGTAAATAATGCAACTGATGTTCAAATCACTTATTAAGAAGATGCTATAAATGAGCTTACTAAGCTTTGTAAACCTTGCTATCTATCTAATGCAAAAAATCAAATATCTAGATGTTCTTACATTAGATCTCAAATATCATTCAAATGCCTACATGCTGATATCACACATGGCTCTACACAGTGTTATAATGATGAGTGTTATCTCATACATTTCATGTGTGATTATCTACGATTTCATATAACTATCACAGCTATCTGAAAATCAGAAATCTGAAAAGCTCTTAGACAAGCTATCAACTGAATTAAATGTCAATTCAACTGTACTACAAAGAACATTCATGGTGACAATAATACAGCAGTCAAGAAGGCAGATAATCTCACAAATTGAGTGAATGATGAAGGTCTAGAGATGGAGTATTCTTCAGAGTATATTTATAAATAAAATGATGCAGCAGAGCAAGCAGAAACAATATTAATAATAAAGACAAGAACTCTACAGATAGAATCTCTTCTATCACAATCACTTTTTTCTGAGATTACACTTACTGTTATCTATCTTGCAAATCAAATCCCTACTAGAATTCTAGATTGAAAGTGATCTCTGTAAGTATTGAATGAATTTCTACAGATTAAATCTCACTTCTGTACTTATCTATGAATCTACAGATTTTGCATCTATGCAAAGATACTAAATGAAGTACTCAATAGAAACTGCTCTCAGAAGCTAGATCTCTCAGCATATATTAAATATCTAGTTAGATATGATTCTACAAACATCTATCAAATTTGAATTTTACACTTAGAATGAGTGATAAGAGTAAGAGATGTAATATTTAAAAAGAATAGAAAATTCAATTCTGAAGACCTCTGCATTGAAAGACAACTAAGAGATTAAGTATCTAAGAAGATGAAGCTTCTAAATATAAAAGTTCAAGAATCATCAATGACAGCTACTTCTATCAATTAATTGAATGAGATTATAGATACTGCAGATATTGATGTTTTCTGTCTCAAAGAAAATACTCAAAGCTCTGAAAAAATAGAGAAGGAAAATAATGAGTTTAATTATTATAATGTTTTAATTCTTTCTACATCAGATTCAATGTCAGAGTCAACAGGTCTCAATGTTAATATTAATACTCATTCAGCTGTGATAGATAATTGTACATGAAACATTACATCTAGAGCTTATAATATCAGTACTGACTTTGATAATGCTAATATCATTGAAGACTGCAGAATCTGAAAATGCAGAGCTGCTCATCTTGTGACAGTTTCAAATGTCAAAGACAATTCTTATTAAATGATTAATAATGTATTCTCTTATTCACATTTACACACAGACTTCTACAAGTCTCTAAATTTATTTTCTAATACTATTTTTACTGTTATTAATAATACATCTACATTAACAGCATTCATACTGACTTCAAGAATTCATAGATCTCAACTGTCAGATTCACTGAATCACTGAACAGATATTGAAAAACATTCATATTATAAAGAATTTAAGAATACTGTTAAGTAGAAATGAGATAGTATATCTCTACAGAATATATATAAAAGTACTAGCAGATTACAGAGAGATATCTCAGTTATCTCTCTATAATGAGTATTCATTTACAAATTCAATGATGAAGGTTCTCTTTTGAAATACAAAGCTTATATCTGTGTATACAGAGATCTTCAATCAATCACAGATCTCACTATAAAAGCTTATACACTAGCTGTCAGAGATCTCTGAATCTTATTGACTCTAACAGCAGCATTTAATTTAGATACAGAACAGCTAGATGAAATTAATATCTTCATTAATAGTGATATTAATAAGCTAGTATATGTGAAACTATCTGATAAATAATGAAAGTTGAAGAGAGTGTAAAATTTGAAGTGTATAAATTATGTACTAAAACTTCTATAAGTATTATATAAATTACACAGATCACTTCTTCTCTGATTAAATGAACTATCTTTAATATTAAGAACACTAGACTTCATCTCTATATCAGAGAATTAATATCTCTTCTTTAATAATTGATTAATCATTGTCTTCTATATGAATGATATTATCATGATAATATAATAAGCAGATCTTAATACACATAAGATTTATATGTCTTCAACATATTCATCCGTGACACTCATTCCTCATGGATTTTTGATGGGGTGCATGTGATGTCACGTGGGGTCATGTTACAGCATTTTTTGTGAGAGAGGTTGAATGTGATTGGTTGTTATTGTTTAACTAGTAGCTAGTGAAAGCTAAATATATGTGTGTGGGTCACGTGGGTTAAGGCTTGTGTAGTAGCTCCAACACCCCCCATGCTACGCAGGCCAGTTAACCCACGCAGCCAAAAGCGCCCAAATCATTCAAATCTGCAATAAAAATTAATTACAAAAAGTACAGTCTAGTTTCTTCATAAGGACTAGCTCCATACATGAAAAAACATAAAAAACATGCAAGAAGAACACCCAAATCCGTCCTTCCAGTATTGGTATTACCCCCAGTCATTGTGACGCCGCGGGATCTCATTCTCATTATTTTTGTGGTTTTCATCGTCATAGGCATAGGCATAGGTCATCGGCATAGGTCATCATATGGGCAATCGGTGGCCCGGCATCATATAGGCACTGGGGCCTGGCATCGTAGGCACTGGGGCCTGGCATCATATAGGCACTGGGGCCTGGCATCGTAGGCACTGTGGCCTGGCATCGTAGGCACTGTGGCCTGGCATCGTAGGCACTGTGGCCTGGCATCATGGTCATCGGTATGGGCATCGTAGGAACTGGGGCCTGGCATCATATAGGCACTGGGGCCTGGCATCGTAGGCACTGGGGCCTGGCATCATATAGGCACTGGGGCCTGGCATCGTAGGCACTGTGGCCTGGCATCATGGTCATCGGTATGGGCATCGTAGGAACTGGGGCCTGGCATCATATAGGCACTGGGGCCCGGCATCGTAGGCACTGTGGCCTGGCATCATGGTCATCGGTATGGGCATCGTAGGCACTGGGGCCTGGCATCATATAGGCACTGTGGCCTGGCATCGTTATCGGTATTTCCATCGTTTTGGCGTCGATATTGGCGGTCATCATGAGCATTATTAGAAGACTTGCTCAGTATTGTAGCATACAGGTGTAGCAGCATCATCATCATTGTCCTTCTTTCTATTCTTTCAATCTGCAGGTCATTTCTCTGGGTGTTCAAACCAGCAGCTTGGTTCATCATGGTCTTCCATGTCTTCGCGTTCTGGAGGATTATCTTGGGTTTGATTATTGCGTCATCTTCGCGCGGTTATTGGTGTTGAAAAGGATCCAGCTATCTGATTCTCTGTAGTCTCTTTGCGGTTGATCAATCTTGTATTGACAGGCATTTGGTATGGGGTATTTGAATGAAAAAAGCAGCTATTTGAAAAGCTTATTGTATGATTATTGCATGGTTATAATGCTTCGTAGAAGTGCAAGGGCTTCATAACCTGTGAGAGAGGTTGAACATGGTTGGTTGTTATTGTTTAACTAGTAGCTAGTGAAAGCTAAATATATGTGTGTGGGTCACGTGGGTTAAGGCTTGTGTAGTAGCTCCAACATTTTTTGCGCAGAAAAGTTGGTTTTTCTTTAATCTCTCTATGTAAGGGGCCTACGCCGAATAGATCGGTATAATATATAGGTCTTATATAACAAAGAGAAAAACATTAGAGAAGGAAAGAAAGAGAAAGTGTGAGAATCAGTGATTGAAGTGAATATTTATACATGTACACAGTGATGTACACAGTGAAACTTCAGGGTGAAAGAATAGAGGTTTTTGTACACAGTAAAGCTTCAGAGTGAAAGAATAGAAATTCTGTAGATTTTCAGCTGAGAATTGATGACTGAGAATCAGAGCAGTAGAAATCTGTGAAGTGTAATAAAATAGTCTATATAATTAATCAGATGCAGCTTATTACATTAGTCTTCTCTCTCTTTCTTAATTATATATAGCTCTCATCAGTCAAGGGCTTTGATCTCAGATAATATAAAACTCAGAGTTCAGATCAGATAATTATAGCTAACTTATTTCATAAGATATTATTAACTATAACTGCAGAATCTCTTATTAAGAATATCTTTAATCTCTTATTTAAGTTTATTATCTTCTTCTATAATCTCTGACAGCTGTCAGTTAGAAGTCAGTTAAGAAGAGAATAAATTAATAATAGTATAATAAAATAAGCTTATATAAAAAATATTATAAATCTCTGATAATATGTTAAAACAGTAGTTATAACTATCTAAAACTTCTATCACTTTATACTTTATATAATAATAATTCAGTGTGTGAGATAAATATGTAATTTATATATTCTTAAGATTTAATTATAGTAGATCTTCTATCTTATATTACTCAGCAGAGACTTGATAAATATTAATTTAATTCTCTTAATTCTATTTAACACTTATTATGAAGACTTCTACTCAATCACAGATATCTCAGAGTTTTATTACTATATTATCAGTAATGTGAATTAAACTGCAGAGATTTGATATGAAATGTATAATCTCTAAAAGATTCAGTACTTTCATATAATATCTATATATAAGAAAGAATGAACTTATATCTATTGAAATGATATCTTGATCATTGATAGTGACTTCAGTGTGTAGAAGAAAATTATATTAATTATCTTATAAGTAATTACAGAACTTATAAAGATAATTCTTTATAGTCTGAATTATCTATTCTGATACATTATTAATCTCAGAGTGATAGATAGTTAATAAATAATATATACTCTTGAGAACTTGATAGATTTCTTGTTCAGAGAGTACTTATAAATTGATAACTCTGATCTAAATACTATAGATCTCAGTAATTTATATATCTGATAGAATGAGCTTTTTAAAAAAGCTTCAGTGACTTGTTCAGTATTCATCTTATTATAAGAAGTTCATATTATATTCTTACTTAATTAATTATAATAATCAGAATATTCTATAATTCTTACTCTTAAGAGATTATAG